GTTCTCGTGAAAAAAGAAAGATATGGCAAATTTCTAGTTTTTTTGCAGGTTTTATGTTAGCTGGTAGCTTTAAGGCATATATTTGGGAATTTCTTAATCGCTGTGAATCTAGTGTAGATGTTAGTTCAGTTCCTGAACAACGAAATATATTCAACTTTATGGATGTATGGATATCAAAAGACCTGAATGGTTTTGTGGGAATTTCAATCTAAGATGCCATAATGGTTCTGATGAACGGCAAGTAAATGAATGAATGTTTGGAAACGAGCAATATCTATGAACTTTTTGGTAGAGCTTGTCATCAAGTAGGTGCTTAATGGCTATCTGCAAGAGGTTTATAGGAAAAAAACACGGGATGTGATGTTAAGTCAGTAAAATTGCATATCAATTGAAGAAAATAATATAAACATGAATAAAAAATCAACAATAGGAATTAAAACATGAATTTTATTCAAAAATCCAAGATTTCTTTGAATATTGACAGAATTATATGTAATTTCTTAATATTCAATAAGCTGGTGATGTTTCAATGACAGGCTGTCATCTCATACTTTGGCAGTGTTTTGTTTTCAACCTTTCATAGCTATTGGTTGCTAAAATTTGTTGATTGGAACTTTAAGCTCATTCGTTGTATTTAACGGACTGTTACACTATAGGTGGAGAATAACGGACTGTTAATTTGACAACCTTGGTGAAACGCACCCTTACTGTTTGGATTCCTTTGTCAGTTTGAGTCTTGTCTTTTTACTGGATAGTTTGGCACTAATATTCGAGGAAGGCGCAATGAGGGTGACTAATTAATAAAATAACAAAACATGTTTATCAAGTCACTTGACTTAAGCATTCTCTATTCGATGGCGGGTACTTGGATGGGTCATTCCAAAATTTCATAGTATTTTGAGTTTTTCGAAAGACCATGTCCATTTGTTTGTTTTCCGTTCGCACTGATGAGCTGCTAATGAGCTCTCTGCGGTTGGTCATGGTTGCAGAGACGGAAAGCAGACATGTCCATTTCAATCACAAAATTCTAGATTAAATGGTATGCTTGAAAGCTTAATTAGTTATAAGATGAGTGTGTATCATCTTTTGCGAATGTAGGGAATATGCAGTAATAAGACAACTGTTATAAGAATGTTCACGGTTTTTGGTGGGTCACACTATGACGATAAAACCACAGTAATTTTGAAGAAAGAAGTGATCGAATTGCATATATTTATAAACTGGGCATGTTGTAACTGTCGACTTACGATTTATATTATATTATTAATTTTTGTTGTGTTTGTTGTTAGAATATACGCAATATAAATATTTGTAACCGTCAACATTACAGCATTACATGGCTGAGTTTCGTGTTTTTCTACGCATCTAAGACAGACTGTTGCATTTTTTTAACGGAAACAATTATTACATTGTTCATTATCGTACGCATTCAAATTTTGAGTTAAGCTTCGCCGTTATTTTTATGTACGATGTGTTTATAAGCTTTTCTATTTATTTCCGCGTGTAACATTATTGTTCATGCGATTGTTTCTAATGTAATACCATCTTTCTGAATAGAAAGAATCTGCGTAACTATACTCTCCTTAGTATCTTTTCCACTAGGTGAAGATCCACCTTCTGTAACAAACGATCTTGACTCTATTGTCAGCAGTTTTGCAGGATGACATAAAAACTCTGTTAAATTTAAAAAAATGATTTTGGTTCCATTGACAGCGATTTCAAGTAAATCTCTACAGAATTACTAGAGCTTCTAATCATGAAACTCTTGTACATCAGATCACGGAGCTCAAATTTGACTACACAGATATTCAGAAAGCTTTGATTTGGAAAAATTGTTACATAGGTTTCATTAAAATTTGGTTTTTGAATGCTTTAATATACCTTTCTTCCAATTTTAACTGAACTCCTCGTTCTCATTCTTGCGGAGACGTTTGTTTATGTAAGTCCACAGACATGTGCTTCTTAGTTTTGTCTCGCTACCTCAAAAATGTTCTCGTCAATGTGCGAGTTTTCCATAGTTGGACGGCTTTTTGCAGAAAGGAACCAACCCAGAAAAACAATTGTTATTAAAATTTTGACAAAAAATTCATTTCAGACCAAAAACTATTTCAATTTTTGATACATTGATACTAAAAAACGTACGTTTACTCCCCTTAGTTGAAAGCATACGAACTTTATTTTGGAATTAAAGTTGGCGACCAAGATAAACTATGGGCCCCTCATATAATGTTGTAAGACTTGTGTAACGTTGTTAACAGGGTGCTTAAGAGGCGACAATCGTAAAATGCCTTTTGCAGTACCAATGGTTTGGAGAAAGCTATTGCTATTTTTGCCTCACAAATATTAAACGTATTGGACCAAAATCCAGACATACTGTTTAGTACTTTAATTCACCATCATCTTTGCGGCCCGTTGAGCATAGTGATGAACCTTCTGTCCCAGTTCCACCAGAATCTTGGTCTTTGGATGAAAAAGTCGAAAACACCGATTCTGAAAGTAATGGTACAGAAAGCGTAAAAAATTCCAATCCTGCACCGCATTTGATCTCACAGGGCGAACTTAATGTCTTACTTCGAGAATTAAATCTGCCAAAATCCCAGCCAGAACCTTTTGCGTCATGATTAATAGGATGGGACCTTCTCCACGGTGATGTTAACATTACTTTTTACCGAAAACGGGAACAACACACACTGTTTCCGTCAAGAAAGGGAGTTGATATATTGCTTCGATGTCAACAATTTGTTTGACGCGTTAGGACAGAAACATGATCCAAATGATTGGCGCCTGTTCATTGTTTCCTCTAAGATTATTTTAAAAGCGATATTGGTACACAACGGTAATAAATATCCATCTGTACCTATAGCGCTCGCAGTTCATAATATGAATGAATCATATGAAAATATGCTAGTTGATCCCAAAAACGTGTTGCTTCCACCTTTGCATATTAAGTTGCGACTGATGAAAGATTTTGTGAAAGCTATGGATCGAAATGGAAGAGGAATTCTGCATTTAAAACAAACATTTCCAAGATGTAGTGAGGCAAAAATTAATATTTGTGGGTCCACAAATACGGAAAATCATGAAGGATGATGTATTTAACAGTTCTTTAAATGAAACTGAATTACGAGCTTGGGATGCCTTTAAATCAGTTACAGCAATTTTTTTAGGCAATGTGATGGCGTACAATTATAAAGATATTGTGAGTGAACTAATTAAGGCTTATAAAGGAATTGGATGTAACATGTCTCTAAAAATTCACTTTTTGGATTCTTATCTCGATTATTTTCCGGAAAATTTAAGTACGGTAAGTGATGAACATGGTGAACGGTTCCACCAAGACATTTCTGCTATGGAAAAACGGTATCAAGGCAAATGGAGTGTCAATTTTCTAGCTGATTATTGCTGCACATTATTAAGGTATACCTCAGGAGCAACATATCGCCGTAGAACATCGACAACAACATTCTGAGATTGATGTCTATTCGAGTGTTTATTAGTTCTCTCACACACATATCCTTATATTTTACGAGCATGAGCAGCAAACAAATGTCCTATTGCAAGAAATCTGTGTGTAATAGAAAAAATCGAATGCTAATTCAGGCTTTGTGGGTACTTTTATATAATAACCACCTTGTTTTGTCCATGTCACAAAAAATTATTTTGTTTTTTTTTTCACCAGTCTAATTAATACATGACAGTTGAGATTACTCCATCTACAATGTGAATGTCTTCCCATAAAAACGTTATAGAGAGTATAAAGACTACGACCCGAATCAACATCCTGTAAACAGTACGATACGATGAGCCAGTTCCTAATTATTATTGACTAAATTAAGTCGAGAGACTTCCGTTCAATCGTCACTATCAATCTGCCTCGGATAATGGAAATATGAGTTGGGAAATAGGCCAATATTGTAAAGGAATTAAGTGATGATCCATAATCTCTCATTTTTTTCAAAACAGAGACATGCTGTACACTGCCCTTGACATGTCTCACTGACCACTGCTCTTTCCTTCATTCGTCATTGTCTGTCAGGGCGGTCGGTAGAACCTTTGCTTTTAGTTAAAGTATTGTAAGGCATTTTAGGCCTAGTCGCCAGATACTATAAAAAGAGAGGGAGAAAGAAGTGAAAAAGAAAGTGAGGAAGAAGGGGTGCAAAGGGAAAGAGGTGCGTCAATCTTAGGGCTGCTTTGGCATTCCTAACAAGTATTTCAGACTGGCTCTAAAATTAATTCTGAGGTTGGTTGTTCAAGAAAAAATATAAATTTGGGTAGACCTCATTTCGCACGATTTAATTTTGTTCACAGAGCAAGCCGTGGCCTTGTAGGTAATACAAAGTAGGCTTTTAGGATCTGTCTGACTTCCATCTCTGTGGCCATAACTAATTGTACACAACGTTGTTTCATGCTTTATAGTAATCAAGGTATAAGTCTAGTCATTGGGGAAAGACAAACCAAAGCAAACGAGTCAGTCATTCAGTATTATAGTGTGCGAAGAAGTGACATCTGCGATACCAATGCCTTGAAAGTACGTACTTTCCTGATGCCAGTTTAGGGGTTGGCAGTGCCATGATTGGGTTATTGGTGGAAATATCAACTCTTCGAAAACTAAGATACCATGTTTTTCACGAGACCTATTGTGCCTGCCTATCGTTATCTGTAGACATATACCGTACTTATAATTCCATAAAATTTTTAAACAACGTGGTATATGGTTGGTTATGCTCACAGAGACGCACAGCACACATATCCTACTCAGCCTGTATTTAGTTTATGTAACTTTTGCTTGGTGACTTTTACACCGATTGGTAATACGCCTGTGTGTGGCTGGCTACTACTGAGATGCCAGAGAAACTGTTGCAGCAAACATAGGTGTCAGTAGAATCACAGCTCATAGATGGCAGTGTCACCTCCTCGCACGTCCATAAATGTATGTTTTGAACTTATTTACTATGCCCTTGTTTTTTCTTCAAGATAACGATTGTCCTTTTTTGTTACAGGTCGCGATAAAAATTATTGACAAGTCTCAGTTGGATGCCGGCAACCTTCAAAAGGTCTATAGAGAGGTGGACATCATGAAGAGGTTGGATCATCCTCACATTATCAAACTGTATCAGGTGAGTCCAAGTTCCTTTTGTAACTAGCCCTGTCAAATCTTGGTTAAGCCGCATTTACTCTATCCTGTGCTTTGATCCACAAAGACACCACGGTGTCTTGATTTTCTATAATCCATATCATGCTTTTACTTTCTGGGTCATATTATTGATTTTCATCCGCGAATCTAACCTATAATTATTGATTTATTGATTGCTGGTGGATTTCTAGCGACATTATATTCACATGGGCGGAAACCTATTATAATAATTGATACTGATTCGGTGGACGACACCCTAATGATCGTAGAACTAATAGTTACGACCCTTCTGTATTTCGGAAAAAGTCGGTATTGAATAAATAAAATTGTTCAATTGGTTCCTTTACGATAGTGATACCAACATAGATCAACGTAGGTCATAAATATGCCTATGTTTGGATACGTCCAAAATATGCTGGTGAGTCTACTTGAAGCTATCCACACCACAAGCAGAATCACGTATTGTGTCTTATTTCTGAAAATTTAATCTAGTGGAAAATCCAAACTGCTTTTACGAATACATGTTACATTTTGTGATTTTAATGCTGAGTAGATTTCCGGGACGGCTAATAATGCCATTTCTTCTTCTTCTTTTTGTCGAGCTTGAATCTGAGTGTATCCTTCACCGCTTCACTGTTCTGGAACATGCATCCTACTTCATACAAGCACAAGCATGGGAGCCGGGGCTTTACAAATCCTGCAAAAAAGAAACCTTCGCGTAGTGCTCCTTTCACCCGTATCTCCATTTTACTTGGCAACAATAGGAAAGCTCGTATGAATTTCCTTCGGAAACCCTAAAAAGTGTATGTACCAGAGCGTTATTTTTCTAGAGGAAGGTTATTACTTGTAGCGAAAGGTATTGATAGGATTGTCAAAGCTGTATAGCTTTGGAGTGATAGAGATAGAGATATATTTCACCTTTGACTGTGGCAAGATTTATAATAATAATAATAATAATGATATTAATAATAATAATAAAACGTCTATATTGGGCAAGTTTAGCATAAGCTATTATCCCGTAAAATGTCAATAAACAAAATAAACAACGAAACAATATATTCCACTATAAATGCAGAGGTTTTAACATATAAACAAATTAATTGAGTTAAATTAATTGCTGAATTGGATAAAAGAGAAAAGTATAACGTTTTGCATAATTATTATAGAATGATGTTTATGCATATCATATAAAACAGGTGGATATTATGCACACATATACCTACATAAATTCATGTCAGTGATTGTTCGAAAATGATTTCATTTGAATACTTTATGAAATTCTTGAAATTTAACGCTTTAATATCAGAGGGTAAGCATTGATTATGTTGGCAGCCTTATAAGTAAAGCATTTAGCAAGAAACGAAGTTCTGTTCTTGTGTCAATAAAGCGTACATCTCAGGAGTGGATAGAATTACGAAATTATAGCTTATCTATCAAAAAAGGGGGGGATTGGAGTAAGTAAAAGCTTATGAAATTTAATAGATTAGGAATATTTGACCACTTCAATTTGATGAAAGATGATAAGGTGGTCATATTTTTTCAAGTTGCAGATTAATCTGCAACATGGATTTTGAATTTTTTGTAAGCGCTGGATTGGATGGACACTGGATCTAAAAACCAATGATGAATAATGTCGCAGTATGTAATCTTTGAAATAACCGATGATTCATAAATATTTCTTTAGTTTGGTAATCGAGAATGTGTTCAAGCATAATTGCCGAAGTAATGAAAAGCAACTTTTGTAACATTGTTCACAGGAGCAATAAAATTTAGAGATTTAGATATAGTCGAATATTCCTTTATTTGATTTATATTTTTGTATTACAGAATGCAATTACTTTTTATTCTGGATTATGAATATTTGCATACTTGTCGATAGATCTCAATTCTTCATTAATTTGGTAATCGGCAATGATTATATTGTCAGTATTACAATTATTGTATAACTGTAAGTCATCAGCAAAAAACTGAGTGTGCAGTGTTTAACACATCTCCATTTTTTTATCCTATTCACAGGCTCACACAGAAAAAGCATTATTCTATTCTATTCTTCTAATACAATACCTTGAACATGCAAATATTTCAGGCAAATACAACCTTTATTTTTCTACTACAGAATAGGCAAAAACCACTTCCAATAATCAGTACCTCCTCTGGCTATGAAAAAACTACCGAGCACATACCTATCCGTTTTAGCAGTCTTGAAAACTACAATTGTATTGATTGTAGGGTTGACCAATCAGAATTTAGCACTCTCTGTCTGGCTGATTTTTCACAGGGCGTCGACAAAGAATGTGATAAGAACGTTGGAAGGTATGAGTAATGTGTTTTTGCAGATGTGTAAACATTAGATCTTTTAGTTTCTATTTCTTATTGGTCCACCAATCAAAAGGGTTATCTCCGTACATAAGTTATTGAGATTTTAAGCGTGACGGGTATCTACAGCGCGATTCTAAACAGTGGCAATACTATTTCTAGAAAAATTGTACTTTTCGTTTTATTTTTCGGTGTACTTTGGTGTCTTTGTCGTTCACGTATTAAACGTCACTCTCACCCTTCAAACTCAGTCTGTATGCTTAGAGGTTTCTGGTCTTCAAATCATGAAAAAACTCGCGTATATCTAGCCCTTCAAAAAATGAGCTCTAACAAAACCAGAGTACACACAAAATACACACCACTAGTCTTTTGCCTAGAAACGTCCCTACCCGACTCATCAGCCTGCTGCTGGATGACTTTAATCTTGGAAAAAGATGTACAGAAATAGAAAGGCTGCTTGGTCTCCCAGGAGAGCGTACGAGATTGGATTATACTGTCGGATGTCGTTGTGTAGTTGATTCCTTTGAGAATATAATCTGTGAAAAAAGTGGGCGGTTTTCTTTGCGTTGAACAGAGCTATCCGCATGTGGTTTATTTAAAAGGATTGGGTGATTTATGTCTCTAACAGTTTTGAGGAGAAATTTGGACCGTCCGACAAGATAGCATTCAGAAATGATGTTTTGTAATAGAGCAACGAGGGCAAAGCTGAATGTCAAGTTCCGTGACTGAAGTTGAGAGTGATACGATCTTATCAACCCGTTAGGATGCCAGAATTCTAAAATGCATAATTGCAGTTTACTCCTCCCCCATTCTATATAGATTTTGAAACCAGCCGCCTCTGGTCAGGCAAAGTTTGAAGTTCACTCACACACTTACTGATAAGGTTTAGAAGAATAAGCGTGTTACTAATTTTGTGAATTAGGTAGCATTGTAATAGTAAGACAAACACTACTAACTAAACCTGCACTGCTATAAATAACACGATTGTTTTGTCTAACTCGTTAGAAGTGCTAAATACTTATACGTTGTACAATATTTTTTATACAAGCTATAAATTGTCATATTTTTTGTAACAGTAGGACCATGAGTATACTCGATGTTTGAGGTCTGAGTGCCGGTCAAGGCTCTTGGATTTTAAGCGAATTATAACGCATCTTTGGGGTAGCATAACATTTGAGTTTCACAGCATATAGGCTGTAATAGTCGTCACAGATTTTCAAGATTTTAGGAATATTCAAAATTTTCAGCTTTAGAAGTAAAGACATCAAGCTGGAATATAACGGGACACTTGTTATGTTTGACGTGTCCTCAATATTTCCAAGTGTTCCATTACCAAAAGCTTTGCAGCACTGTCGATAAATAATTACGACCAGAACATGATCAACGAAATTATCACTATCATTATAACTATGCATGGATCAACATATTTTCCAGTACAAGGGAGAATATTTTGAACAAAAAGAAGGAACGAACACAGAAAACTACCCGTCTCCATACTTAGTCTGAGTTCATGTACCTTTTCGAAGATAGTGTTGAAAAATCATTTTTGGACACTTCCCAAGATTGTGGAATGCTGTGATATGGATAAGTAAGTGAAGTTACCACTGTCTTTGACAAAACATCAGGTCGAAAAATGGAATAGTCAATTTAACTTGCACCCTGCGAGTCACCGATTTCGATGCAAAAGTAAGGAAGACATCTTTCTCGAAATGACGAGACTTAGGATTTGTTCCAAGTTTAAAAAATAGCTTAAATGCAAGAATTAACAAATTCCGTAAAAATTATTCATGCGAAATGCTTTGCCATTTGTCAACTATGCCATGCTTACTTTCACCGGCATATCAATTGAAACGTTTCTCTTATTTCTTGTAGTCGGTGCCACTTTTTATGTTTTGTTTGTTTTAATAACAATTATCATCCAATTGCTTGTACTATTATATCAGGTAATTATACAAATGATAACTGGTTCATTCGTCAACGTCCACTGCATTTTTTTTTGGCATTGGAAGTTATCCATTTGCCACAGATGTGTGTTACTTATATTTCTCTAATTATGGACAGACACACGACGTCACAACATCCATGGCGAAGGCGAGATTCGAACTCGCGACCCGGCCGGCCGCACTGCATTTTATTATTTAAAAAACAACAGCAATTCCTTAATTTCGTTGTTTACTATTAAAATATGTTGGCAAATAAATAGTTTTGTAAAGTGAGCTTGCAAAAACTTTACAAGCTGCCTGTTTTGACATAAACAATTTTCATAAGTCAGCAACTTTGACAAATATTGAGGCTGATGTGTTCTTGAGAAATTTCTCCCTTATTTTCGAGGCTCAGTAACTTCACAGATGAAATTAAAAAAACGGCCAGAGTTACCGTTCTTAGATCTTTTAGCCCAAAGGAACGACGGAAACATCTTAGTTATTAGGGTTTAAAGGAAAGAAACCAAAAAAATGAGAAAAGACTAGAACCACTGTAACCAAGTGGATACTTTGGTTAGCCCCCCCCCCCCCCGCGCTAAGCAAAAAAGTTTCCAAGAATTAAAGAGAACGATCAAACAAGTGGTCAATAAATATTTTCCTTACATATTGCAAATATTAGTTCATGTATGCTTGGGGACTTGATAACCTTTCAAGCTGAAAGAGTGACACGGAGGACATAGCAATATGCTTCAACCCTCATTACATAAAGTATATTCAGGACCGTATATCACTCTGGTCGTAAACCTAAAGACTTACTGACATCAAAGATAAAGTAGATTCACTTGAAAGGTGTGGAATTTATAAAATCAGCTGCATTGATTGTAACATAACTTTTATGCTGGCCAAACTAGGAGGTTTATTAGGTCTGGGTTCAAATAACATTGAGCTGATTTGAGATATTTAGTGTAGCCTAGCACATGTTCAATAGGGAACATAAGATAGATATAACTTATTTAAAAGTAGTCCAGAATGTTAGAAGCCTTAAGAAACTGGATGTATATGAAAGCTTAGAAATATCCAGCAGGTTAGGGAATTTAATGAACAATGGGTTCTGACAAGTATTTGTTAGGTAGTATTTAGTTCAGGAATTTAGTTTTAGTCTCTCCCTGAAGATGCTAACATAATTGAAATGGACATGTTAGCTTTCCATCTCTGTGCGGTTTAGAACTAGAAGTACTACAAACAGATGAACCGAATGCAGACAGGCGAAAATTGGCAAGTGGTAAGGCTCTGTAGTAGTCATAGTCGCTCCGCCAAAGGATCCAACATCACATACAACCCAATAATAGTAATTCATTGGTGCTATTATACAGAAATGAGTTTGCGCATGTCATTTAAAGTAGAACATAAAAAAGTTAGTAAAACAACAAATACTCATAATACGTAAATTGTACAAATATTAAACGCAAAGTGGCAGTAAAAGGTAAAAAGTTACTAAAACCTGAGTTGAAATTTAGATGAATAATACTCGTAGACAATGATAGTTAAAAAATTGTAAAATAGACTATATACAGTAAAAATTATGCCAAGCTGAAAAAAGTGAAGTTAAGGAAGTCCTCGACTTCTAAAACAGCGTCAGATAGTAGGAAGCATTCCATAGCTTTACCAGGCTAAAAAAATTAGAGTTATGGAAGTCTTCGACGTCGAAAGAGCTTCAGATACTAGGAAGCATGTCATAGTTTTGCCAAATTGTACGACACCGAGACATTTTATTATATTTGACAATATTTTGTTGAATTTCAACGTGTAGTAGTTACCGCCATGTCTAATTCTGGAAAGGCGATGACAATTTTGACACAAATGTCCTTTGTTTCTGGTATCGTAATTATGAGTATCTTCATGAGTTGTAAGAATGAGTTTTAGCATGTAGCAGGATCCATGTACCTCAGATTTGATTTACATACAGGTGACTTCGAAGTTGAGTCATTTATTTTAACAGTGAGTAGATCTGATCAAAAGAAATGCTTTTTTCCTTTAACATTTTTCTGATAAAATTAAAGTAACAAAGTTATAGCCCTTTAGAAGTTTGAGTACCGCCCTGTCTCAATAATAATATTATGTGCTCGTGTTTGGCAACAACGGATATAATCCGCCTTATCCGTTCATCGCATCGGAAACAAAAAAGCGAAAGAATTTGAACCGATGTTTTTACCACAATGTACAATTTTATTCAGTTGTTTTCCGTCAATGTGTGTCAGTCGGTAACGCGTGAGTGAATAGTGGTGTTTGTTGCGTGGCTGAAACGAAATAAAAAATGCACATGTTTACGAAAATGCTGAACTTGTGGACATGATTCTTATTTACGGGGGGGGGGGTCTTTGTGCGGATCGGTTTCCCAATCGAGTGCAACCAACCCCTCGTGCCTTTGTTAATGTAGTACAAAGGGCTCGTGAATCAGGTGACTTAAGACCTCACAGGGGAGGGGATGCCGGTGCTCCAAGACCGTACGATCAAATACAGGTCCGCACTGAAATACTTGTCGGGAGGATACTTTCTAAAACAAGGTAACATTTTTTTTAATTTTTATTTCTATTTTTACACACATATTTTGGTTTATCTTCCTTCTACAATCATTATCTGAAAATTAATGACTCAACTTCAAAGTCACCCTGTATATCTAACTCATCTTTTCTATAAGCAAAAAATTCTAAGCATATGTGGACAATGACCCCATGCCAGAACGGCGTACATCATGCACGATAACTGGTGAGCTGTATTTTCTGAGATACTGAATTTCCCAAATTACTTTTCAGATAATTAGCTTTAGTCAAAGATTTGGCAACATGATCTACATGCTTATCCCAAGTCAAGGGAAGAGTCAACGTACACCCCGAGAAACTTCATACTGCTCTTGCGTTGTCAAAACTAACCTGAATTGACGATACTCGAGGGCTTGCTAGCTCTATGGTTATTTTATATCCTTGCAAACAATAGCTCTATCCTCCAACAAGTGTAAATCCGGCATCACCGCCGTACTATAATATAGAGCAGCGGGTAGCTTGTTACGGCGCGTACGTCGACTTGGTTGCCAGGCGACGCCGATGACGTCACAGCGGCATGACGCTGACGGTGGTCGCCGCGACGCTTCGTCGCGATAGCCGGTCAAGTTGAAGGCGTCGCGCGGCGATGTTAACGAACCTACCGATGCCGCACCGTGCCTGCTGAGCGCGGCAGGAAAACAAAGTTTTTTCCTGGGCAAGTTTTCGCAGCAAAAGGCAACGTCCTTACAAATATACTGGGGCTTAATTCCAGAAATCGGCCTGTATGAAATATGTCGACTTTCATGTAACAATTGAGAAAGGCAGGCCAAGGCGAAATCTGGAACGGAAATGCGCGTTTCAATGTCGCGGCCAAGATGGCATCCAGGACATTGTTGGTCGTTAAATTACTTTTCCCGCATCCCAGAAATTAGCAACAAACTGAGGAAATAATAATGTTAGGCTTATTCTATCCCTATCTATTCTATCCCTGAATCAAAGGCTGCCAGTCGCCAGCCGCAATCTGAGCGCAATGTCCGAAATGTCGCTCAGGATGTTGCTGGTCTCAACTCAGTTGTTATAAGTCAAAGAAACTTTGTTTAAAATTCTTTTGCATAAACAAGTGCGATGCAATGGCCAAACACTCTTGTTACGTACTGAACATGTGACTTACGTAGGTTTTTTTTAACATGCTTATATGAGCTTGGCCTGTATGTATATGCGGATGTATGTATGGAACGGAATCTTTGAGTATAATTTTCACCAATTTTCAGAAGTTGAATTAATTTGAAACTTCGCATACGTATCAATTTGATAACAGTTTTCCATTATCCTTATTAGGACCGCCAGGATTGATAAATTCTTTTATAGATCCTCTGTAGGGGAGTGAGAGAGATAGAGCTAGCGCGCGACCTGCGCATGCTTGCAGTGTCGGACTTACTCTTTGTTGGTGTGGGTACTCGGCACAGCACAACTGAGGCAGATACTTTTTCAAAGTAGTGCATTATCACCTTGTTCATTGCGAATGTTGCCATTAATCTTGAGTTGGGCTTCGACCGTCCACAAGATGCAAGGTTGTTCAGTCGATCATGCAGTCATTTATCTAGGCTCGCGACTGTTTGTTGCTGGACAAGCGGTATTCGGATTGAAGAACTTGATTACTCTAAGTTGACAGGAAAAACTCCATGCAACAGTGAAGCTTTAACTGAAATGATTATATCACGAAATGATTCGTAAGATATTTCACTACCATAAGTCCACAAAAAAGTAATTGATAAATCGGACTAAAAAATGAAAAATAAATACTAGTTTAAAAAGCTAGAAGACACGCCTTTATAGCTTACCGAACCAAAAAGTAGAAAATTAATTTTAATTACAAAGAGTTTATATTACAGTAGTACATAGTCGAACAATCAGTCATAATTAATGACCTAAAAATAAAACTAGAATAAAATTTAAGTTATTCACAGAATAATTCAATCCAGAGTAAAACGTGGTGGGTGAATTTTACTACAATTTCATAACTCTCCTCTCATAGATAGTCGCCAATAGAATGATTGAAACATTGAATATACAGGGTGTCCCGAAAAAAGTGTGCAGTATTCTACCAGCGGTTTAGAGAGCTTAAAATAGGAATAAAAGTTATATAAACATAGGTCGATAAACGTCCCCAAAGGGGGCTACGGTCTTTTAAAGGGGCTCCCCTGAAGATGGGTTTTCCTTAATATTTCCGAAACGTGTTGAGATAAAGACATAACATTTGGTATCCTAGCCTAGTTTTTTATGCTGGATTTAAAAATATTAACAATTTTAGACAGTTTTGTTTGGAAGCGTATGTAACAGGGACGGACTCAAGTTATTTTGGCCCCAAAATTTTTGTGTGATTCTATTTTTGAAATTCAATTTTAGAATTTGAAAATTCAGGGTTTTCTACATAAAAAAGGTACTCTTATTAAATATCGACAAATTGTGCCATTTTTGAATAAAATCAAACTAAAGAATTTGTCACATGATAGGAAATGCACTGATGCGAATTTAAATGAATTGTTGATTATACATAGTTAGCCACGACTGCAAGCAAAAGTTATTTTGATTTGTTATGACTTATTTTGACGTTAAGCTGACATTGTTAGCAGTGTAAAATTACTAGATTAAACTCAAAATTTTTATTAAATCGATTTAAAATGCCAAAATTTACAGACAGAGGACTGACTGACATGCATTTTGTGTACGGGTTTAGCAATGGCAGTTCATTGGCAGCCGTAAGAGAATATCAAAATAGATTTCCCAATCACATAGTACCTGGACGTCGAATGTTTACTGATATTCACCGGAATTTGTCAAACCATGGAAGTTTTCAGCGTACGCAGGGCTCAGGAAGACCACTGGGAAATCATAGTATGGATATTTTGGATAAAAATTTATGAATACCTATTTGATAGCTATCCTAAAAATAATAATTTTAGATAGGAAGAATGACAAGAATGCAAGGATTATATCCTTATCATTTTAAATGTGTGAAGCATGTAACGGAGGCATATTTTTTACCACGAATCGAGTTTTGCCAGTGGATCTTAGCAAATGAAAACACTATTCCTAGAATATTATGGTCGGACGAGTCAATATTTACTAGGAATGGTCAGATAAAAATCCAAAAGCTGTTCGCCGTACAAATTTCCAACATAGATTTTCATTGAACTTGGGCAGGAGTAATTGGGGATCAAGTAATTGGGCCTATTGTACTTCCCAATCGTCTTAATTCAGAGGTGTATCTGAACTTTCTTCAGAATGAGCTCATGGATATAATACCATTGGATGTGCGCCAGCAGTTTCAAGAAAATATATTTTTTCAACATGATGGCGCCCCTGCACATTTTGGACGCAACGCTCGAAATTAGTTGAATGTCAATTTTCCAGACAGATGGTTAGGCCGAGGAGGTCCTATAGCGTGGCCGCCACGTTCACCTGACCTAAATCCATTGGATTTCTATTTTTGGGGGTCATTAAAAGACCTAGTTTACTCGACTGAAGTGAATAGTCAAGAAGATTTACTTGAAAGAATCCATCAGGCTGCAAATGAAATAAGAAGAAAAAGGTTTTCCACTCTTCGGGCTACGCAATCATTAGTTCGTCGAGCGAGACTCTGTATCAAACAAAATGGAAATTTATTTGAACACTTATTGTAAAGCTAGTTTTAAGTAAATCCAACTGTATGTCTTCTTTTTTAAACAAATTTCAATTTCGTTCGTAGAAAAAATTTATTTCTTTTGTTTTTGCCGAAATGTTAGCTATGTTGCAATAGAAATATGTATTTATGTAATATTTACCAATTATTAAATTAGTTTTTTCGTTGCCATGCTAATTATTTAACAATTCATTTAAATTCGCAGTACATTTCCTATCATGTGACAAATTTTTTAGTTTGATTTTATTCAAAAATAGCACAATTTATCGATATTCAATAAGAGTACCTTTTTTATGTAGAAAACCCTAAATTTTCTAATTCTAAAATTGAATTTCAAAAATAGAATCACACAAAAATGTTGGGGTTAAAATAACCTGAGTCCGTCCCTGTTACATACGCTTCCAAACAAAACTGTCTAGAATACCAAATTTTATGTCTTTATCTCAACACGTTTCGGAAATATTAAGGAAAAACTATCTTCAGGGGAGCCCCTTTAAAAGACCGTAGCGCCCTTAGGGGACGTTTGTCGAACTATGTTTATATAAACTTTTCTTCCTATTTTAACCTCTTGAAACCGCTGGTAGAATATTGCACACTTTTTTCGAGATTATAATATATTAAGCACCCCACGCTTTTTACTCTGAATTGAATTATTCTGTAAATTAAATTTTATTATAATTCTATTTTGAGGTCATTAATTAAGATTGATTGTTCGACCATCTACTATTGTAATATAAACTCTTTGTAATCAAAAATTATTTTCTACTTTTTAGTACGGTTAGCTATAAAAGCGTTTTTTAATTTTTTTTCAGCTTTCGTTTATTATCTAAATGTTATCACGAAAAATGCATGTGTTAAGCTACTGGTATCTAGGATGTGTTCATTACCAAGGTTACAAAATCACCACAGGAAACTAAAAGAAAAAATTCCTGAAAAGTGCTATGATAGAAAACTATAGCCCTATAAAATGATTTGACTGAGGCAGGTAAAGAAGCGAACTAATATACGTTAGTTTTCCAAATGGAGGCTTTAAGGCTTGAAAACTAACATCTTTTAGCAGTTTAAAGGATGAGAAATAATTTGAGAATTTGGGCATCCATCTCCACAAAGCATTGTGCAATAGTCAATCCTCCGACCATAATCCCTCAGCATCCATCATAAAGAGATGTGGGCGCCTAGCATTCTCCCAAACATTCACCTGAAACATTAGTGATACCTATCTAAATCCTCAACCAATTTATTAGGCACAGTACAGTGTAACACAATATCTGTCTTTACTTGAAAATGGCTACTCTCAAGATGCTGGCGCAGCTCATCGCTTGACAGGGGTAACGCCTCTGTTTTTTTTCACAACCCCAAAAGATTGATTACCTTGCCTCATCCCCATTTGATATAACTTTATGCACCTGTTTGAAGGAAAAGAAGCTTCAGTTAACACAAAAACAAATATGGACAATGGAAATGTGTTCCTAAAGGCGGAAACCATTTTATAACCTTGAAAACCAGGAACTTCCACCACATCCTTCTTTTTGTCTCAAGAGGCACATCTTCCAAAAGAATGGGTAGATGATGTTGCAAAAGATCTATGTAAATTTTACTTTTTAAGGTCATTTGCTGATTTAGTCTGGAACTTTTTTTTTCTCAGTTATTAGTCAAACTCTAGTAAAGCATTCAAACCAAATGTAGTAATTTAGTTTTTTCTTTTAGCATACTGTGCCAGTTTTCAATGAAAAGAATACCCAGTTGTTTCAATCAACTACTAATTGTAGCCCAGGAAAAAACACATAAGTTAGGAGTTCTTTATAGCCATAACAGGCAAAAAATGAGCAAAAAGTAAGAATTTTTCGAAAAATAAAAGTGTTAATATCTCGAAAACTAGAATACTTTTACTAAGGTCATGTTGATTTTATCTGATTGATCTGAAGCCAATCTACCTCCCGTGTTACTCTGGCATGTTGTTTCTGAGACACCCTGTACAGGTACGGCAAACAACTTTTCATTACTGCTTCTATTTTGACAGAGTCCAAGGAGCTAGTGCGTTAGCGCTTGTTTATGTTTCACTGATCAGTTTGAAAACAATTCTTCGAAATTATTTCATATTTTATACCCAATTGACATATTCCGTGTAAACATTATATCTAAAGGTATTATCGCATCTACAAGGCTGACCTATATTATTAGACTTGTGGCCTACAGACTTCTATTTTTCTGAATGTTTGTCGATAAGATATGTCAGTAAATACATTATTTACAGTCATTGTGACTAAGATCACGTGCGTATCTATAGCACATAAGACAATAAACTATACTAAATATTATTAGACTTGTGGTCTACAGATTTCTGTCCTTCCGAATGTTTGTCGATTAGTTATCTCAGTAAGTACAGTATTTATAGCAATCGTGATTAAAATCACGTTTGTATCTATAGCCTATATTACATATAAACAATACTGAAACGCACGAAAATGTTTTCTTTATACCGAAGATGCCACGTATTCAGAAGCCTAAATCCCAGGGCACCACGGCTCCTATGAGAAGCCTAAAGAAACTTTGCTCACTGTTCCTGCAAAGATGCTTTTTGAATTGTGGAGAGCCGCGGAACTGTAAGCACGTTCTGGTCCAGAAATAGTTAAAAGTAATCAAGTAATTGACACCTGAACCACACAAAGACAAGGTAGGATTGGTACCTACCTGGGTGTTCATGTCGCCTCCTCTCTCTTCACAGCTTCTTCTTAGGTTCACCACTCTTGTCTTAGCGATTATATGAGATCTGTATCGAATTAATGGATATAAGATTTTTGGTAGACTTTTGGAAAGGCGAACGTTTCTTTTTCTCGAATCTTATCGAGTTGACTACTGAACGCTTCGTCTTCTTGTGCGCATGTTTGGCCTACGCAAGTAGATTATTGGCAAACTCGATACCCTAGGGACAAAGGAGTGGTCGTATCGGCCTGTTCTGGATGTACGAAGTCTGACACGGTTACGAAGCCAGGCGGGTCTGTCTGGCAGGCACATCGCATAGCAGTATCATGGAGGAGAGCTTTAATAAGCAAGACTGTAGAAAAGAGCTAGATGGCCGACGGTCCGGTTTACGTATCATTGAGCCGTTTTCATAAAAGAGAAGCACATCCTCGGAGGCATAAGGTAAAAGTACAAG